ACACACACAAAGGAAGAGAAACAGGACCAGTGAAAACAGTCAGCTACCAGCTGGAATGTAGTCACTTATTTAAGAGCAAAAATTAAGGAAATGAATTGGCTTAAAATATTAGTTCTTTTTCATTCATTTAAAAAAAAGTCCAAGTGCAGATGTTAGACTACTGCTGTATAGTTTAAAACAGAGATTCTCCTTTCCTTACCCACAATAAACTGCCACTTCTCAATGAAAGCTTTTTCCATAGGAAGTGTAATGGCTGCCCTAACTAAATTAGGGACAACTCCATTTTAGGCCTGGTCTACACACAATACAGAGTTGTGGGTGTGATTCCCCCCCAATCAGTAGATCAGCACAACCCTTATGGTGGATACACTTATAGTCCCAATATAGGTTAATTCCCTTCTCCCTTTACACAAGTTACACCCCTACAAGCATCTTTATCCAAGGATAGCCGTATACCCGTTTTGAGAGGTGGAGGGGAGCGTTGTACCGTTTCAACGCTATCAGCAGAGTGTGGACAAGTTTCAACCCGGGTACCACAATCCACCATCGAGTCCTAGGGGCTTGATAGAGTCTAGGCCACTGTCCTATCCTATCTCCTAGAACTGGAAGGGACCTTGAAAGGTCATCGAGTCCAGCCCCCTGCCTTCACTAGCAGGACCAAGTACTGATTTTTGCCCCAGATCCCTAAGTGGCCCCCTCAAGGACTGAACTCGCAACCCTGGGTTTAGCAGGCCAATGCTCAAACCCCAGAGCCTGTCCTCCCTCTGCCCCAACCCCTCCTCTGCCCACCCACCACCACCGGGCTCTGAGGCTTCTCTGGTCACATTCACGGCCAGTCAGAACGGGGCCCGGCAGGGCCACTCCTCGGGACACGTTCTAAGCCCGCAGCAAAGAGGATGGACCGACCCACCCCCAGCCCAGGTGAGCGCGACAAGGCCTTACCCAGCGCCGCGGCCATAGCGCTCCCGACCATCCCCCCGCCCGACACCACCACATCATACACCGGCCCGGTGCCTGCGGCCCGCAACGGGACCCTCCACGCCAGGACCGCGGCCCGCCCGGCCCGGAGCCGTCCCCTAATTGGCGACAAGAGACCACAACCACCCGCGGACACCCACACCGCCATCACTGCGGAAGTGACGGACCCAGCACCATAACAACCCGCCCAAAACGGAAGTGACAAAATAAGCGCCATGACAACGCGTGTGCCAACAGCCGAGGTGCATGCAGGGCGACTCCTTCCTGGAAAGGGCCTCCCAATCGACGGGCAGTAGGAAAGGCGATCATTGGCTATTGAAGCAGCGAAGACAGAGAGGGCGGGCTTAGAGGCCTGGCCACAGCGCTAATTGGACTAGCCTACTGGCATCCACTGACCAATGAACTGATAGGGCCCGCCGGAGGGCGGGGCTAGGCACAGCCCGTGAGGACCAGAGATGACAGTATCGAGGCAACTGGGAGCTCTAAGTGGAGCCAAAATGGGGCCCGGGGCGCGGACCCGACAGGTGAGAGAAGGGCGGGGCCGACCACCATGGGGCTGTTACCATGGGAACCACCGGTGTTTTCTTTGCCCGCTCTGAGTAACGGTTTCAGGGCGCGTGCGGGATTGACGGCCCGTGTGTCACCTCAGCGCCATGGCCCCGTTACCATGGCAACGGAGCACCTCCCCTGGTCTGGCTATTGAGGGACTCTTCCCCCTATTGCACGGGAGGGACTGATGCCAAGGGAGGCCACGTGACTTGCCCGAGGTCGCCCAGGGAGGCCACGGCGAAGCAGGGAGTTGAAGAAGCTAGGTCGCCTGAGTCCCAGTGCCTGCACCACGGGAAAACCCTTTGTCCCCTACTGGCCCCCATTCCTCTTTACTAGTCAGAGACCTTGGACATCAGCACCCTAACCCTTTGTCTGCCTTGTCCCTTGTGGAGAGGCTGCAGCCTCTGCCCCAGTAAGGTTACAGCCAGCTTCCATTATTTTAACTTCCCTAAAAATATAGCATGGAAAATGTACATGGCCTGACAACTGCCAGAGTCACCCCAAAGGTCAAAGAGGGATGTTTGTGTTACAGGTCATTGAATAGGGTTACCATATTTTGTGCCTCCAAATGGAGGACACTCCACCGG